TCACAGAGGCCCTCAAATAAATCATCTGGCATATGCAGACGATATAGTGATCTTCAGTGGTGGAAATAACAAATCAGTCAGGTTGATCATGAAACAAATTCGCAATTATAAGAAGTCTTCTAGTCAAAAAGTCAACAAAGTAAGAGCTATTTCCTTACTGATCCTAAAGCGAGAGCTCACAGAATTAATAGAATGGGGGAGGCTACATGATTCATGGATAAGTCTTTCCCTTCAATTATCATGGATGTTCTCTATACGTGGGGAGAAAGAAAATTATTTACTTTGATGCGATGGTGATTAAAATTGTCAAGAGACTCAACGGTTGGCAAAGTAAAATATTAACTTATGGTGAATGAATGGTTCTCATCAAAAGCATCATTCAATCTTTGCCTACTTACACATTGTCTGCCATGAGTCCACCTAAAGGTACTCTTGACCTGATTGAAAAATATTTTGGAAGCTTCTTCTGGGGTACTTCAGCGAATAAAAGAAAATATCATTGGAGTGTCTGGAAGAACCTTTGTCTTCCCAAGGATGAAGGTGGATTTGGCATAAGATCGATGTACGACATTAGCAACACTTTCACCATGAAAAGATGGTGGAGAGTTAGAACCAACAATCCTCTCTGGGCCTCCTACTTAAGATCTAAATATTGTATTAGGTCTCATTCGGTGAAGAAAAAATGGGCCTCAGGGGACTCGCATGTTTGGAAATATTTGACGCAAATTAGAGAAAAAGTTGAGAAAAATATTCGATGATTTATCAATGAGGGTAACAGTAGTTTTTGGTGGGAATTGGTCGGGGACAGGTGCACTTGCTGATCATTTTGCCCACAAAAGACACACTAAGTCTATCGTTGTAAAGGATTTCTTCAGAGATGATCAGTGGAACATAGAGAAACTTAGAGTCACTCTCAATGATCAAACAGACGCACATATTTGTGCTATAGACAATGGAGATCAGAATAAAGAAGACTATGCTATCTAGGAAGCTTCAGCCAATGGTCTATACACCAACAAAAGTGCTTGGCAGCTAATAAGGAGCAGAAAATAAAAAAAATGAATCTCTGGAGAACATGTGCTCATTAGTATCCCCTTCAAATTATCCTTCCTAACCTGGAGACTATATCTTGGTAAGTTACCTTTTGATGTTATTATTGCTAACTTTGGTAATCATAAAGTGCCCAGGTGTGCAATAACCCAAAAGGAGACACGATGCAACATATCTTTATTGAAGGAGATACTAGTAAACACCTCTGGAATATTTTTGGGGCTCCTCTAGAAATCAAACATGAAAAATGGCCCATTAGAAGAATCTTCAAGAATTGGCGGGAAGTGAAGTCGAGGAATAAACTTCACAACTTCATCATACATGCATTAACTTTGGTCATAAGTTGGGTCATATGGAGTAGTTGGTGTTCATGTAGATATGGGGATCAAAGGAATTTCTACATTAGGAAAATGGAACAGCAGGTGAGTTGGAACATTCAATCAGCTATTACAATGGCTTTCCCAAGATGCAAAGTGACATGGCCATGGTTTATATTCTATGAAAAGGTAGAAATTTGAAGACCCACAACTATTATAAGCCAAGTCACATGGCAAAAACCACTAGAAAGGAAGATTAAAGTGAACACGGATGGAAGTTTTATTATGGGAACAGGAAGTGCAGGAATAGTAGGCGTAGTCAGGGATGAACAAGGAGATCTTTTGATGGCTTTCTCTATACCAGTTCAGAGTAATAGTAATAATATGACAGAAGCTTTGGCCGCAAAAAAAGGAGTACAATGGTGTACTCAAGAAGGCCATAATGACTTCTATCTGGAGATTGATTCACATATAGTAGCCAACATGCTCGCAATGAGAGACACAAACAATCTCATGCTTAAGAAAATCATTTAAGACACTTCTCGGATCATTAAACAAAGTCATGTTCATGTTACCCACTGCTACAGAGAAGCCAACCTAGTGGCTGACATGCTACCCAAGAATGCAGCCTCTAGTGGAAACAGTGATTTTTTTCTATACATTCCAGCAGTTCCCAAGAAATGTAAAGGGCCCTTTTCTACTAGACAAGTGGCAACTATCTAGTTTTAGAATTAGGTATGAAAAATCCTATTTCTTTGTAAGTTAATTTTCGTTTAGTCTGACATGAGAAGGAAGATGTATAATTTTTTATTTTAATCCTCTCATGTTTTTTGAAGACTGACTTGGTCGGTCCTTTTCATTTTTCTGAAGGTCAGGTACATGTCCCCTCCATTGTACTTGCTCTGTTTTTTGTTGGAATAGACATGGTAGGAGTCTCTCCAAACCCCAACACCTCAGGAGGTGAAAACCTGGTTTAAATATATATAAAAAGTAGTTTTGATACTTTATTATAATAGTGGGTAAAATTCTTTTAAGGTAAGCAATTATATGACTTTATTGTTAGTGTCCAGTACAAGTGAAACTAACCCTAACTTCAGACAGACAAAGAAAGGGCATTTAGAGTGAACATTACCAGCAAAACTGCTTTGACATGGCGACGATCAAACTCGAACTCAGCTTCTTCAGATTGCATAATGCCCATCAGTGTATCAACAATATCCTTAGCTTGCTTCAGCTCATTAGTGGATTGTTGAACATGTTCATCGATAACTCTCTCCAAAAATTCATCAAAAAGATTAGCTAATTCTTTCATACGACGAGTCAATCCTTGGAGAAAAGGAATGTAATCACCAAGTTTTGGCATCGCTATTATACGCATTGTCTCTTGAACCAGAGCCTTGAAACCTTTCTCGCCAAGATCCTCGTCCATGTACTTCTTCCCAAATACCATCATGCACGCCATGTTCGCGCTAAGAGATCCAATTTTATCACTAAGATTAACCACAACATCGCCATCAGAAGCAGCAGCCTGTTTGAGGAAATTCACAAGAATTCCAACTTCTTGTTTCCTCATAGGCTGAAAAGAATGGATCTTGACATTGCTAAGCAATTGTAGAGTTCACAATTTACGCATATTTCGCCAATAAGGTCCGTACTTGCTAGAGACCAGATTTCTCTGATTATAGAAAATGTATTGAGAAACTTCACTGTATGGTCTACTAGCAAAAACCAGATCATTGTTCTGCAGCATAAGGAGAGGAAGCAACAACGACAGGAACAAGACCAAATCGCATGGACATTATGGGACCATGTTTTTTGGCTATTTTATAAAGATCGTGGTGAAGATTCTTGCCTACCATGTGAAGATTCCCAATAAGTGGAAGTCCTCTTGGCCCTGGAAGAAGTTTCTTCTTCTTCCTCATTAATTCTTGAAGAAAATAAGTAAGCAGTGCAACTACTGCAAGAGCTAGCCAAATAGAAGCAATGCAATTGCCACAACTTTTCCTAGCTACTAGTAATATAGTATTGAAACTGTGCTACTTCTACTCTTCTAGCTCTTTTGAAGCAGACTAAAGTGTGTGTATATATATATATATATATATATATATATATATATATATGAAGGGGAGCCTTGGCGTAATTGGTAAAGTTGTTGCCATGTGATCAGGAAATTACGGGTTCAAGTCGTGGAAACAACCTCTTGCAGAATTGCAGGATAAGGCCGCATACAATAGACCCTTGTGATCCGGCCCTTCCTTAGATCCCGCGCATAACGGAAGCTTAGTGCCCAAGCTGCCCTATATATATATATATATATATATATCCGGCCCTTCCCCGGATCTCGCACATAACGGGAGCTCGTGCGTGTGTGTATATATATACATATATTGATCTTAAACTAAAGTCAGAAGTAGCACTGTAGCAAAATAATGTTGCAATAGACCAATTTCTAGTAGTGATATAAGACAGATAAATTAAAGCAGATGGAGTATTTCATTAGCACTACCTAATTGCAAAGTAGTGAAATATCTGCGCCTTAATAAGTTTTATTAGGTACAAACTATCCCTAATCCCTAGCATGGTGGTTCGGCTATCTATTGGAGTTAGGCAATAGTTAATGAAGTCAGATATATATTAAATTTAAAGATTAAACTAATTGGAGCAAATAGTAGTTTTATCTTCCTGTTTTTCGTCTTAGACGTCCAAAACCGTATTATTGAACCTCTTTTGCGCTTCTTATCATGTTTAAATTAAATGAGTAACAATAATTCTGTTATACTTTTACAAGGTCAAGTGAGAAGTAAATTCAATTCTAAGATGAGGAATTAGTTCGGAAATTATCTATCTAGACTATAGGATGAAAGCAAAAAAGAAAAAAGTTGTAAAATTTTTGAAGAATTTGTAGATTTCAATGATCTTTTTTATATCTTTAATCTTCTAAAATATAATTTCCATTCCATTTTTATCGTTTTCATAAAAATTTAAATATACATTTATTTTTGTTACATATAGTACAAGTTATGGATGCCAACCTAATCCATTTTCTTACTAGAAACTAAAGTAAGCATGTTACAGATTTCTTAATGCAATGTTTTAGTTCGTGAATTGGCTTTGCTAGCTAAATGCCTAATTATCATAGGACACTTTTATTTTGGCGTTTAGGATATGTTAGGAAAAATGAAACCGTATAGCCGCTTTCAAAATAATAGCCAAAAAATATATATATTTTTTGTATATATATATTTGTATGTTATATACAAAAATTACAAGTTTTATACACTTTTTCGGCTACTGAATGTAAATAATTTCTGCCACGGGCCGTTAAATTTATGCACCAATTTTAATCAGTCATAGATGTAGCAAACTACATTTAGGTCCAAATGAATTAGGAAAATGTGCATCATACTAACCCAAAACGAACAAGTTTGTCCAACAATGTGGAAAAAAACAAGATAGGGGCAAAGACTAGAGAATGTTGAGAATTATTCTGCTCTAATTCATGGCTTATTAGAAGTAGAGAATGCCCTGGTGACATATTCATGGATAAGAAAACATTACAACTAGTTTGATAATTGAGTAATGTCGCTTTTTCTGCCCGAAACAAGGACTCACTTAGATATGAGCTTTTATTCTTATCCTTGATCAGAAATTTCTCTATAAAAAATATTAAGTTTGAAGAACGGGAGTAAGGAGTCGTTGACCTAGAGGATTTGCAACATCCTACCACCCGATTAGAACCCAAAACAGCCAAGATCAAATGTAGTAAGTAATTAGTAACATATTTATACTTTTCCGCACACTACATAGCAATAACGTAATTACGACAGTTTCGTTTTGCATAGTGACAGACAGTTTACATCCCAAACACCCTGGCAAATACATCGCCGGACCTGGACCCCTGGAATGTTAGATTTCCATTCCCAGCATAGTATCCGTTGAGACCTAATCTGTCATTTCTCTGAAGTTCCGCCATCCTGCCAACCTCATTTCTACATTGGAACTCATCCAAAACATTATGCTGGTAGCCATTAGAACTGTGGCCATTCGCAAGCTTCTGCTGGGAAAAGTGTGTGTACAGAGATTGATCAACGTTTTGCCGTTGATCCACCAGCCTTGATGAAAAGCCACGTAAATCATTTAGGCCAGCATACTCATCTGCACCGTGAAACCTCTGATCCAGATGTGCAGATGGAGTTTGTGAAGCAAGAACACGTGAGAATTTCCCTTCTTGATCAGCATAATTTTGTTGCATCAGAAGCCAGAGCCTTGCCTCATCTTCCAAAGCTCTCCTCTGAGACCCAACTTCCAGGCCTGAGATACTTAAACCATTTGTTGGCTTGCCTTTACCACAACTTAATATGGCAGGGTCAACAAAATCAGCCTCACCTACAGTTCTAGTGCTTCTCGTTGATGGGGGGTGAATCAAATTTGATGAACTATTTACTAATTGACTTCCTGCATAGATAGAACTAACAGTAAGAACCTATTATCAATTTTTTTTGGAAACAGAAGAAGCTTGCCATTAAAATATCCAACAACGGGACAGGAGAGTTACCAGAGAGAGTATGAGGGAATCCTCCAATTTCATCAGACAACGGAAAACCAGGAGGCAGGTCCCTTGAGGGTATTGAGAACCCGGGTGGAGCCAGACCTTTTCGTCTTGAGACTGCTAAGACAGTTCGACAGATTCAGTTTGAAATTAAATGGGCCCAAACTTAGTAATGATGTAATGCTTTCATATTAAAATGCTTAGCAGTAACATGGTACAGGAAGTTAGTTGGTTCCATCACAAAACTCAATTAACTCATGAAAACGCACATGCACATATAAAGTCCTATGTAATTCCTTCTTGGAGCACATTTTGCGGCCTAACATACCATTTCCTCCCTAGAGATCAATACCAGGCAGAGCTAGAACTTTTTAATATTCCTGCTAGTGCTGTCAACAGTTTTAAACAACAACAACCCAGTATAATCCCACTAGTAGGGTCTGGGGAGGGTAGTGTGTACGCAGACCTTACCCCTACACTGGGGTAGAGAGGCTGTTTCCGATAGACCCTCGGCTCCCTCCCTCCAAGAACTCCCCACCTTGCTCTTGGGGTGACTCGAACTCACAACCTCTTGGTTGGAAGTGGAGAGTGCTTACCACTAGAGCAACTCAATCTTGTCTGTCAAGAGTTTTAACTTGTTGAATTATAAAGCGGCAATCAAGCATTAGGTGAAATGCTTGTCAGAAAACATACCAAAGCAAATTAAATTTTAATGCCAGAAGAATAATGCTCAAGCAGCAGTAAGGTTAGAAACTAGTTTAACCCTGGTTTAAAATAACTGTAATGATGGACGGGAATTGAGATGTGCCAGAGTGGTCCCCCACCTCCCACCCCCACCCAAACTGCCACTTCTGGGCTGTTCAACTCTGTCCCGACAAAAGATTTCACACACCCTCCCCTGTATTCCTCACCAGACACCTAGCCCACCCTGCCCCTGCCCCTCCCCCTGTCCCTTGGCATCTTTCTTATTGTATTGTACACTTAACTCTGCCAAAGAAGAAGTAAAGGCACCACCTTTGTTTCTTTGTTTCTCTGAATTGAACTTGGATCCTTTTGGCTCAATCTAGAGAATTGGCAGGGGGGAAGGAATTTTATGGTCTATAGTGGTATAATATGCTTGAAGATAGAGAAGCAACCAACAAAGGTAGATGATGGAGATTTAGTAAGCAACAGTAGCGCATGAGGAAGGACTTGAGAAGACACAGCCTGAGAATAGTCGTACAACTGTGAGCCTTGGTTCATAATTTACAGCCAAAACATTTCCTTTTGGCCCAGCTATAAGTTGCCTTACAATTTGGTCGAAAGGAACCATGGTTCATGTCTCTTCTGTATTGTATCAAAGAGGTCAGATATAGGGCCCCTCTTTCTTTTTAGGTGACTATGTTTGATATAACACATTATACTCAGACTAAATCTGAGTATAATTTATTTATTAAAAAAAAAACTCCCAGTCCCGCTCTACAGCTGTAGTAAAAACCATTATTCTACAGCTCCGCAAGTCACTCCCTTACCCTGCTAGCAGGTCCACAGCCTTTGCAGCCCCATTTCCATCGCCGTTAAATAAAATCTTGTCTAGTGGGTACAGGAAAAGACATCATACAATAGTAAACAACATAGGATATAGCACTTGAAAGGAAAAGGAAGACAGGCCCATGAATGACAAACTTAGGCAGCAAAAATCAACTATCTTAGGCATCAAATAAAGAAAAATTTCTGTTAACACTTACTCTGATACTGAGACTCATGCATATGCTGCTCTTTCCTTTCTCTGAAGTCATGAAGGATGGATGACTGATTTGACATCAGACTGATATTACTAGAAGAAGAATCCAAATCAGCCCTTTGACTTGAAAAACCATCTTGCTTCATAAATGAGAACCCTTGACCGCTGTGCAAAGAACTCCAGGAACCACGCTGCCCATTAGGTTCATTACACAGGCCAGTTAAGCTGTGACGCGAGGTCAGGGAATTTTCACATGAACCAAAGTCGATAGCTAAAATGTTTGAAATTATACTGTTCTTCACGGGATTGAATGCAGAACTTTCATCAAAATTATTCAAGCTACCATTTTCAGTCCTTCGTAAGTGCTCCACTATTTCTTCATTGGAGAATGAGTTAGAACCTCTATAAATTGTATCAGACTTCACGGAACTTTGAAATTTCAGGTCATGTAATCCATCATTTAGTGTGGAATTTACACATGAAAGTGGCAGCAAAGCTTCTTCTGCTTGTTTATGTAATGATCGATGCTCCATGCCATTGATACTCGGACTACATGCCCTATGCAAGAGCGAATTGCCACCATAATCCTCTGTACATTTAGCAGTGCGGGATGACATAAGAAATGGCTCTTGACAAATACTATTCAAATCCTTCGATCGTTGACCATCAAAAGATGTGGAGTCTTCCCTGAATGGTTCATCTGAAATTTCTGTAGAGTTTTGATCCCTTCGCAGATGATTGACAGGCTGGTTAGGAGACGGAACTTCAAATAACACTCTATCAGAATATGTTTCTTGAGCATGATTATCTTTGTTAATTGGTATGGAAGATAGATTGGAACACAAATCCAAAATTCTACTATCCTCACTACTATTTCCATCTTTCTCTGAACGAGAACTATTAGACAATCCAACATCTACGAAAGTTGTCCTTCCGTTTGGTTCACCAGCACCTCCATCCTTATCACTAGAAGGGACTACACGAGCCATATAGCTACGGTGATCCACTGTATCATTAGTTGCACCCTAAAAACGCAAAAAGGATCTGGTGAGAATGTTTTCAGTTCAAGCCAGAAATCAAGAAATGGTAGCTTCCAAAAATATCAGAGCTTACAACAGAAAAAATATAGCATCTTCTGCACTGAAAATTAGGGAAGTGATTGCCTTGGATACTTTGCTACAGAAATATACTACCAACAAGCATAATAAAACACTAAAGATTTTACACTTACTGCACTTCGAATGGTAGAATTCTCTGTAGAAGTAAAGCTAGTATTGGACAATTCATCAATTGGAGGTGGCAAGACATTTCCTGAGCGTTTCATTGCACTACTAGTGGCACCAACAATTTGTTGAACCCTACTTCTGAATAAACGCCAAAGCGCAAAACCGCCGGTTAGCATACACTCTTAGAGAAATTTATCAACCAATTAAGACAGTGTATAATCGACCCTTTATCTATGCAAGTAAAAGGCCAATAAACAGAAACAGTACAAGAACCTGTGAGGTCCAACAAAAAGAAGCATATAAAGAGATTCAGTCAGAGATGTCATGCAAGATCTCCATTTACTATAACGTCCAATTAGCAAGAGAACTTGTCACTTTCCAAGACGAGACAGTAATATATTCTGAAAAAATGAGAAAAATACAAACTGCCACCTCACTATTATTCCATAGTAGTAAAATCTTTCCATGAATGCACCCCAAAATGCAACATAATTCATCATTTCTAACAGGAAGATAGTAGATTCATTCACATAACAAGAGCCAAGAGGCACCACTTCTGTCACTATATGTTAGCAGGTTTGTCTTGGTAAACATTAATTTGAAACTTCAATGCTATGTAACAAGTTCTGAATATTTGGTAAACTTTAAGGTGCTTGTATCAACAAACTAAACCTACAGCAGAAGTAAAAAAATCAGATTGCAGAAACACAAATAAACAATTCAGTTCTAGAGCTGGAACCAAGATGCATATAAATAACAAACAGCTGTACAACCAAGCTTAACATGATATTCCCAGATTAAGATAGTTCTCTCTATGGAAGATGAATTGGTAACATTTGAATAACCATAGCTAGAGAATTTTTTGATAACCTCTAACCATAGCTAGAGAACATCAAGAACATGATGGTTTCGAGCCCCTATGAATTGCCAAATCAGGTTTACATACTTCTATCATATTAGGACAAAATAAAGCTCTAGAAACGGAGAACACTTGAAGGAATAATCAAGCAGATCAATAAAGGCAAATTGATGCAACATTTTGTGACTAGGCGGTCAAATATAAACCAGTTAGATGTAGCTATTTGCTGCTTGAGTTTCCTCATTTATCTCCATGATAAACATTCAGGAAGTTGTAATTGTCTAGAATAATCTTCCACAAATAGTAGTTGTACAAGATAATATCTACTTAAGATAAAACAGGAGTATCTATCTTGTCAAAGAATGTCAAAGTCAGTAGCTAGGAAACAGAGTTTCCGAATGAAAATTTTGCAGGAAAATGATTGGATTTAGACATATAAATTTTATACTGCCAATCTGAGACACGATGTTTCTTTATGTGCTATTCTTCAGCCCATCTGAAGAACTTACTCAGAAAAAAACTATAGCTAGTTAAAGTTCATTACATGTGATCCAGTTATATGCCGCTCTCTGTCAACTTTAGTTTGATACAAGAGTGGGTTGCCCTAGTGGTGAGCACCCTCCACTTCCAACCAAGAGGTTGTGAGTTCGAGTCACCCCAAGAGCAAGGTGGGGAGTTCTTGGAGGGAGGGAGCCGAGGGTCTATCGGAAACAGCCTCTCTACCCAAGGGTAGGGGTAAGGTCTGCGTACAAACTACCCTCCCCAGACCCCACTAGTGGGATTATACTGGGTTGTTGTTGTTGTCAACTTTAGTTTGAGGATCATAAGCACTTCAATCAGTCACAGAAACCCAACAGAGATAGCATGTCTCAAACTGGAGATACACAGGGTAAATATTTGCATGGCCAATACCTTGTATGAATTGCAGCTACCTCATCTTTACCAAAACTATCTTCATCAGCGCCAAGGCTATGCAAATATAGACAAGAAGGATTACTGCAAGGCTGGACAAAAGAAGCACATGTCAACATTTCTATGACATTGGTTGCTTTTATATTCTTCCACAAAGGGCATAACAGAAAGAGCGGAGATTACAAAACACCATGTTCAGTACCGTGTTTCTCAACCAAGCATGACAATATTTTGCAGTCCCAAACGATGCTCTGCAAGGGCAATTTTACTTTGTCACTAAATCAAAATCAAAAAATCAACTAAGCCTCAACCCAAACCAATTGGAGGCGGATATATGAATCCTTTGTATCTATTTCTCTCTATTTGGGCTATCTTCATTCCAACACTAAACAATTTATCTTTTATATAACAAATTAGAGGTTCTCCAAATTACAATTTTCACATTTGTCACTAAATATAAATGATGATAGTGTTTGACCAAGAGAAAGCGTTAGGCCCTTACCTCAAATACCTTCCTTCCAGGACAAAACCGTGTACAAATTGAATACACTGTATGGCCTCTTCCTCTTTAGAGTACGTAATATATCTGCAAGGAAGAAAATGACAAAGAAAAAATCAAACAAAAAACTTGACAGCAAATCACGCACACTCTACAAATAGACAAAGTCCAGTGAAAAGGATTTTGTCATTTCATCATCATCTAATAACACCTACAATTCAACACTTGCAAACTTCCATAAATACTGGACACATTACAGGCAGACATCGAATCAAACCTTCCATTTTCCCCCACATGCAGTTTCTGCTGCAAAATATTTTATTGATATCTCTCACAATCAATTCTTTTTTTAAGTATTGACAGCTCTTACAATCTATCATGTACAACATTTTAGCCTCTCTACTACTACTAAATTTTGAAGGAAAGAAACTACCACTAAATTCAAACTGTACGGTTCTGCAACATCCTAACTGAAAATGATAGAAGTATCAGATAAAGGTGAATGTGATAATGCTTCTACCTGGGAGAAATTCAACAGCAAAATCACAATTTTTTTGGGATAAGGTAACAGAAAATTCAGTCATTAGACGCCTTCATAGATAAAAATAGAGATATTCATATGATAACCTCAATTTTTCATTTGTCGTAGTTCCAGTAATAATCAACAAACCTAACATCACTGTTGTCACAAACTAGCTCTTTTCTGAATGTAACTTGAAACAAGTAGGGAAGTTGCACCAAACCAAAAAATAAAATAAAAAATAAACAAACACAAGCAAATCCAACAGTTACAATACAAATAACATAGAACCAAGATGATAGACATATGTCAAACTCACACACTACAGGTATCATTGGTTAATAGCTGGATTGAACCACCGGCCGTCCGAGATAGAGAAATTTTAGAAATTTTCCCATATTGCCCAAAATATTCCTTCCGCTGTAAGAGCTGCCCAAAAAATATAAGAGTATTGCTTAATGCTAGAGAATTAAAGATAATGAAACCTTCTTCGAGCACATGGTCAAGAAGAATTCTACAAGTGATATTTAAAAGTAGCAAATGTATAACATAATAGCTCCATACATCTTCATCTGCAAGACTAAGAGGCAGCCCAGTCACATATGCCATTTTACGCTGAATGACCCGAACATTTGTAAGATCCTTCCTGACTTCGTTAGCTTTTGGCTTTGCCTTTGGTGGTTTACTTTTCCGATTTGAATTGTTGTTCTCTGCCCTGTTTTTATAATTGTCTGTTAGATTCTGTCTCCAACACTTTGAGAAGTAAATTAGTCAATCAGGGGAATAACCTTTCAAAATTTGCTTGCATTGCCACAACTTTATCCTTTTCATATTTAGTTCGACATGCAGGACATCGTCCCTCGGATGCCTCTTTCTCTGCTATGTCCATTATGTGATGCCAACACCAAACACACACCTGTATTGAATTGAGGTTAAAAACCCACCAAAAAAAAAATCAATTGACAAACCTGAAACTTTATAAATTTGGTATTCCTTCCTAAAAGAAGTTAATCAATAACAATATCACGAGAGAAGTTGAAGAAGTAGTCTCATTTAAGTTCCCAGTATTTCTTTGAATATAGAAGATGACATCTCCAGAACTATCTGGAAGAATTGAAACCAACTAGGAGACCTGATTCAAGCACAAATTAAGTACCGCCCCTTCAAAAATGAACTCTGCTAGCTATCATATAATTAAATGTTCTCTTGCTTACTTAGCTGAAACTTTTATAACTGGGTTACTATTGAAATATGAAAGCATTGTTTGCACTCCGCAGCAGGGAATAACTGTATGCCCATCTTAGTTACAATATACCTAACTGTCCTTCATTGAAGCTTTTACTCAATCAGAATTTGAGAGAATCAATGCGCAAAAACGATATACACTGGTGCGTACATAAAATAGATCACACAAGTAAATTTCCAATCCACTACTCAACAATAGAGCAGATCTACTATCCCGTTATCAGAAATATCATAAGAAGAACTTTAAAATTTCATGAAGTACTTCCCACAAAATTAACTTTTTAAGATTATGTAACTTGACTAAAGATAGAAAGTGTTGTGAAAGCAGTATGAAGAAAGTACCACTCACTCAAAAGCAGCATAGAAGAGGATGAACATAAGCCTTTAAATAACATCATAAGGTCTTTGATGGTATGCTACTACATCTATTTCTGAAACTTCTTGATGAAGATAGAACATGCAATGGAGAAAACAACTCTCACGGTAAGTGGGATCACCCTTAAGTTGACCAGGATAAAATGTGGTGTAAATTGAGAATGACATTTTACAAACTGGCACAGAAGGCAGTCTGGTAAATGGCCATCAACCCATCTAAATCAATTCGACATTAGCCAAATTGTGAAAGTATTTGAGGCAGTAGTTTGAAAGACTACTAAACCAATTCACCCATTCAAATAAGTTGTACTCCCTAATAAAGAAATGAGAGAACTACTTGAAAAGTACATAACCAACCTTTATCTACAATTCTTTAAGATACATCAAATTTCTAAAGCAGAGTCAAAAACTATCAGCAAAAAATTTCATAAAGCCTAACATTATTGAATGTCAAAAAACATAGTAATTGGAATTAAAACAAGGAATAAAAAAATCACGAAGATGAAATTCAGCTGCTCCTAAGGTTAATTTTAAGTGACGTTCAATTCCAAGTAGCATTATCTATCAAAAGACAGGAACTTAAAAGGGGAATATTCCCTTGAAAATATTTATAAAAAAAAGACCTGATAACCACATTTGCAAGGCTTAAATTGCTGATCGGTCCAGTCCATTTCTTCGGCACAAAGAGGACACCTTTTCTCTTCTTCATTGCTCATCATTGTCCTGTCAATCAATTAAATTTTCACTCCTTCACTAAAAGCTCAACAAAAACACATTAACAACACGCACCTTAAATTCTCCTCCTATATACCAAACATACGTACAAAGACGATAAAAAAACAAATGTAAATTCTTCTAAACCCTAACCAGCAGATAAACATACAGGAAAAAATCCACATTCCAATTCCCTACACTTGAAATAAACGAGAAAACACACATTCAAATAAATAGAATTTCCAAATTCCGAAAATGCGGTTTAAGAAAATCACACAGATAAAAAGATGCGGCATTTTCCCACGAACACAAACGAAAAGATAACAAAAGCGGTGCGTATATATATGCACATACATTTTGGCGTCGAATGAAAAGCAAATGCAGGTGGTTTGAAGCAAAAAGGAAAGAAGAAATTCGAATGGAGATTAGGGTTTTTAGATAAAAAGTTTCGGCTAGTGAGAGAAAATATTTATATATATAGGAAAATGTATATATATAATTGTGTGGGGGAAAGAAAAAGAACCAAAGGAGAAAAAGAGAAAAAAAGGAACTTTTCTTTTTCAGAAATAAAAAAGGAACTTAAAATGAATTATTTTGATGGGAAAGAAGAGAGAGAAAGAGACGCGAAAAAACAACAGGGAGAGAGGTGGGGCACAAAGGATTGAAAACCACAGGATTTCAGACTTGCATTTATGGATGGATTTTATTTGTTTGTTTGTTTAATGATTCCTCCTTTATATATTTTTCGTTTTTTTTTTCTAGAACACTAAAACAAAATAAAATTTCTTATTGTAAGAAAGAAAAAGGCGATTTTTCCCATGAATTGATTTAGCAAACCGACACGTGTGTGAACAAATAAAGTCAAACTTGAATGTTACTGTTCAAGTTAACGTGTGTATAACTTAATTATTTTATTGTGCATTTACTTTATGTTCGATTTAATTTATAAAGAGGAGGAATGTCAATTTATCAATCTGGCAACTGTTTGTTTAGTGCTCTAAAGTTTTTTTTTATTTTTTGTAAGAGGGGAAATCGGCAGCCGCTATAATCTCTGTCACAATCTCTGCACTCTATGGTGAGCATTTTGTCCGCACTAGTTAAATCTTTCTATGTGTAATAGGCTGCAAACTACACATAGGATGTAAACTGCACTAGATAAACCCTGTGCGACAGGCTCAACCCAGACAGGCTCAACCCAGAAGGCATTGAGGGAAAACCAACCGGGCAACTTAAAGGGTTTTTTTTTATTCTTGGTATTAAGAATTTTTTATTTATTTTTTTGGTCCAAAGTATTAAGAAGTTTCTAGTGTATTGTTATACGTTTAGAAGGCGTTGGGTTATGATTTTGGTATAATCATGGAATAGTCAAAGATTTAAAAAATAGTTAGGAGTCAAAGGATTGTATCATATTTTATCAGGTTAAGTACATCTTGTCACTTGTTTGATTGATTTTGATTTTAAAAAATGATGCCAAACCATGTTCGCTTTTAAATGATAATAGTAGTAGATGCTAGCATGTTATAAGTTGACTATTAAAAGCTTTCTCTTTTTCCCCTTTTATTTTCTGTTCAAAGGCAATGTTTATAACTTATAAGAATTAACAAGTTAAACAAGTAATGGCTACGATCTAAATTCATGAGTCGTAACTAGCACCTAACGAGCTACTACTAGCTAAGATTTCGGCTTAAATCAAAGTTAAAGTGCAATATCATAATAATACATAGAACAAAATCATAACATGGATATATCTAAACCACTCACAATATAACAAAAGTCTCAAAATATAATGCAAGGTTTAAACATATCATAATCCCCACCTAACGAGCTACTGCCTGCTAAGATATCGGCTTAAATCAATGTTAAAACGCAATATCATAATACATAGAACAAAATCATAACATGGATATATCTAAACCACTCATAAGTACAAAGGATCAAGGGACGCAGTCCGCAAATAAAATATAATGAAAGATAGTCTGAACCCACTACGACATATGTGGTTAACTTGCCTCAATTGGAATCAGAACTAAGTGTGGATATTAACCACTTATTAGTGTTTTCTTGCTATAGGTTTTAGTCCGAAAATACTAATTTTATCCTCTAATCTAATGAAAATAGTTAAATTGTAGGTGTGTTGGAAAATATAAGTTCAACGAAGAGAAATGACACAAAAAGGAGATATTCTAGCCAAATTCAGTAAAGAGGAGAAGTGCCGAGAAAAGTGCAGTCCGCAAAATTACAACGGCGGCCACAAAAGAAATTGCGGTCCGCAAAAGAAGGAATACGACCGCAAAGGAAGAACTGAAGCTTCAGGAAATTTTGGCAAAAGTGCGGTCCGCAAAAGAAATGTGCGGTAGCACTTGGTCCGCAAAACAAGTTCGCACTGACAAATTTGAAAGATCAGAGAATGAGCAACTGAACAATTCTGAAGCCTCCTCAAATGTGGTCCGCAGAACCTGAAGTACGGCCACAAAAATTGATATGCGACTGCAAAAGCTAAAGTGCGACAACAAAACTTTCCTACTAAAAGCACAAGCAATGTCAATCCAGCAAAGTGCGGACCGCAAAAGCTAATGTGCAACCGCATAACCCTCTGAAGGGCATTTTTGTCAGAGATTTCGGGAGCCCTCAAAATAGAACTTTATAACTTTTTTAGAGAATATTTTCACTGTAGCGGCTACGAGTTAGTTACTTTTGGCTATTTTGAGCAAGTTTGAAATACAGTTGGAGAAGATCATCTACTTTTTCTTTTATTTTTGATTTTGAGTCTTTCATTTCTTCTTTCATCTTTCCATGTCTTTTACTATGAGTAGCTAGACTTTTATCTAGGATATTGATCCAACCCTAGTGTGTAAATCTTATGTGTTATTAATATTATGCTTGTTATTGATTGGGTTAGTTTTATTTAGCGTTGTTTATGCTTTAAAGTTAGAATTGATGGTTGCAAATATTGATTCATGCTTTTTTTACCTTGTTCTTACTTGAAAGAGAGGAACTTAGTCTAAAAAAACTTAGCTAACAAGAAAGTGAACTAGTTGAGTTATTGATTAGTTTAATTAACGGATTTGAACTAGAGATAGTGATAATCCCATTTGGGCTCATATTGAAATGCACTTATAACTACCCATTTGAACTTGAGAAAGATAAATTGGGAATAATCACTCCTTAACCGCGAGGTATCGAGTTAGTACTTGAGTATTGAGAGTCATAACAACATCGATCTACCAAACAAACGTAAATTGACTTTACCCATTAGGCTTATGCCTAGGTTAAGATTACAACTCTAAGTTTTTTTTCAATTGTTAAAACTTCAAAAATATTTTGTTTATTACTTGTTTGCTAGCTTAGTTCACAAATCATACTAGTTTAATTAGTGAAGTTGATACAACACTCTTGTTTGAAAGATAAATTGAATTATATCAAGTTGATCACTTAAATGTTTACATTAACACCCATATTAAACTCCTTGAGGTTCGACCCCGACTCGCGCTGGGTAATTATTATTGTAACGATCATTTCATATCCCTTACTTGGGGTGTGACTTGGACGTGATCAAATACCACCTTGACTGTAACAATCCGACCGGTCGTTTTGAGCTCAGTTTTAGAATTTTCTAAGTGTGATATGAAGTGGACTTTGGTGTTATCGATTTTCGCTTGGAATTTTGAGTCTTGTAATAAGTTCGTATTGTGATTTGTGACTTGTACGTAAAATTTGGCGTCATTCTGCAATGTTTAAGTATGATTCGGATGCGTTCGGCGAAGTTTGAATGTTTGAAAGTTAAAAAAAGAATTTGATCGGTGATTCATGGTATTGATATTATTCGTGGCGTTTCGAGCCTTTTTATAAATTTGGATAGTGTATTAGGACTAGTTGGTATGATTGGATGGGATCCCGGGGGCCTCGGGTGTGTTTTGGGATGGTTTCAGATCATTTCTCTATGTGTTGCAGCTTTTGTTTTCTGGTGTGTTTGGTATGCATCACGATCGCGGATGAAGGGTCGCGATCGCGAAGGTTAAGTGGACTGGTGAAGACTTTATTCTTCACGATCACGGAGCTTGAGCAGGATGTTCTTCGCGTTCGTGTGGGAGGAGTCACAGACGCGATGGGTTATTGAGGATGTCCTGTTGTGGGAGAGTTGTTCTACGCGATCGCGAGAGGTGTGTCGCGATCGCGGAAGAGGAAGTTGTTAAGGCTGAAAGTTTTGCCTTCGCGTTCACGTACACTTGGATGATTGTGCATCGCAATCGCGAGGGTGAGCTAAATAGCCACTCTTTGAAGTGGAAATAAAATTTTATACAGGTTGTTAAACTCTACTAGCTGAAGTTTGACACTTGTAAAGGTAAAACTTCAGCATAGTAATCGAAACCAAATTTTGACAAGACTTCAGGACGAATGAAGGCATCGTCAGGCGTTAGAGTCGGAGTCAAGATTGAATCAAGGAAGCTGATGACGAGTCCTACTCCAAGTACTGCTGCGGAATTGAAATCCTTTATTTCAAGAGCTACTTCTGCTCCAAATTCTGTGCTTTCTAGTTTCTGCCCATGCTTTTTTCCTTTTACCTTCAACCATGTCATGGTTACGTTCTTCCATAAACATAAAGTGCAATATTATGTTCTTAGTTTCCAATTCTTTTTTGATAAGAAATAGTTTATGATTTGTATGAGCTTTTTGCTCGTGAGCTCGTGCTTAGCACCAACGTTTGATCTGGTGGCGCCGGAGACGTGCCGCTGAAACAGCCGCCAGGAGTGGCGGAGCTTTCATCTCTGAGTTGCTCGGAAAAAGCGCATCCCCCATTAACGATTCAGAAGAGCTTTTTGGTGTTTAGGAGAAGATACATTTGGAATATGAGTTTAAGAGTACCTCCTATGTACCTTCAGATATACTATGTATATATTTCAAATGTTGAGCTAATGGTGGATTTTCACGTCTATAATATTTGAACTCCTGTACATAATGTTGGAGTTTCACCTATAAGGAATTTTTTAACTCCACACATTATTGGAGTTACAGTTGTAAATATTTCAAACTTCATCACACGTTCTTCCATGTTTTAACTAAGGGTATTTTTTTCCAAAAAACTTTCCGTGTCAAAAGAGTAATTATATGCTAATCACTTTTTTAAATACCGACTAAACTCTAATAGCCAGGGTTAAAAGTGGCTATTTCCCTTTTTTTTCAACTATACTATTTAAAAGCTTATACCTACAGATGGATTAAAACTGCGGCTCGAGTTCCAATTGTATAGCTCCTTTTGCCACCACGATGAGGAAAAAAAACCAGAAAAAAGCAAGCACCTGCCTCTTTAACACATTTAAAAATGGAAATGTAGTGTTCGATCCAGGAAATAAGACTTTTGCAGGACAATATTGTAACTATATTTCAGAGGATCATAAAACTCCTGGATATGAGGTGATCAATTCTTTAAAATGATTCACTATCTCAAGACATTAGAACTACGCAAAACATATAAGTACATAGTTTAA